CCCCCTGGGTGAGTCCTTCACCTTCTCTGGGCCTCAGATGCACCCACTGCCCCTTACACCCAGTACTGAGGCTTCCGAGTGGCCAAAAAGCGACCACTTGTCTTGGCAGAATGGAAGCCTTGCTGTCCCATCTGTGAAAAGGGAAATGCAGGCATCACTTTGTATCTGCAGGGGTGGGATATTCTAGAACAAAACCCTGGCAGATACCAACATCCACAGACACGTAAGTCCCTTATAGAAAAGGGGTGGCATTCGTATATAACCTATACTTCTGTATACTTGAAACCACCTCCAGATTACTTATACTAAATACAATGGAAATATTATGCAAATAGTTGCTATACTGTATTGTTTAGAGAATAATGACAGAAAAAAAAATAGTAGAGGTGTTCAGTACAGTCACAACCCCCTGTGCCACCCCAGAGGATTTTCACTCCTTAGATGCAGAACCCAAGAACACAGAGGGCGGGAATATAAACACTTCCAAGGATGAAAGGAGCCAGAGAGAAAGCTCTCTGGAAGGCACCAGGGCAGGGACAGTGAGGACGCACTTCAGAGGCTTGGCAGCCCCTCCGTCTGTCTCCACAGCAGAGCTGGAGCACACGCTGGCTGCCGTCACCTACTGCTACCTGGGGCTGCTGGGTGCCACTCCCCTTTATGGCCTGATCCTGGTGGTTCTCTGGAGGAATCGCTGCTGCCTGGGCCACCTGCAGGTGTCTCCCACCCAGGAGGCTCAAGCAGTCCCTGGGGATTCCAGGCCTCAGGAAGGCAGGGGGCACAGTCCTGCCAGGGCCCCAGAGGATGAAGCACCAAGCCCTAGCGACCTGCAAGACCTCACGAAGGCTGCCTGCGCTCCAGCCTCCACCAGCATTCAGCCAGCTTCCTCCTAGTCCCCGCCCCTCCTTTCTCCTCCTCCCGGTTGCCCAAGTTTCTCCACAAATAGAGTCTCTGAGCAAACATGGCTGTGCTGTGCTGTGTTGGGCAAGGGAGGTGGGATCCTGACCAGGGCAGCAGTACTTGGGGAGGACAGTCGGAGGATTCTCAGGACCCAGACCCCACGGCCCCTGATAGGTGGCTGGGGTCTCCCTTTGGTCATTCAAGTGCAAAGGTGTCCAGTTGGTCAGAGGTGAAGTGTTTGGACACTGGCAGCTGGAAGAGGCCCCACCCCCCCCATCAAGTGAGAGTCACATGGCCTAAGTCCCCACCAGGCTTTTGGCTAAAGCCCTTTTAAATTGTAACCCCCTTTGAGGACAAATGCCAAATGGCTCCTGAGCTCCAGCCTGGACTCAGCCACTTCCTAAGTTCCACTGAAGCCACTCAGGGCCTCTGTGACCAGATTCCACACATCAGCTGATGGATGCCCAAGGCCCTAGACAAGAGTGTTTATAGCTAGGACTCGGAAGTTCCCAAAATCTCATTCTCTACTCTTCAACGCTTTACCTTCCCCTGGCCTCAACTTCATGCCCTGACCCACCAACTCCTAAGTGACAGCTGCCTATATGGGTGGGAGGAGTTCTGAGGAGCCCAGGTCCCAGGTCAACACTTCCTCTCTCCCTGCATAGCCCACCAATTGAATCTTGAATCACCGTATGGACATAACTACTTCAAAACTTCCTGCCACCTGGCACATTCCTTAAGCTAGTAACTTTTTTATTTTTTTTATTTTTTATTTTAATGCTGGGGATTGAACACAGGGCTTTGTGCATGCGAGGCAAGCACTCTACCAACTGAGCTAAATCCCCAGCAATTTTTTTCCTTTTTGATGTTACTAGGGATTGAACCCAAGTGTGCCTAACCACTGAGTTACATCCTCAGCCCTTTTTGAGACAGGATTTTGCTAAATTGCTGAGGCTGGCTTTGAACTGGAGATCCTCCAGAGTCCCTGGGATTACAAGTGTGTGCCATTAAGCCCCCTCCACCGCCCTGCCCCCCAGCAAAGTAACAGGATTTATCAGAGTAATAGAGAGAAAGCAATGCTTCTAAAGGGGAAGGGGGGCCCAAGAGAGGGATCCCTAAGCTTTTAACTTTTAACACCCAGATGCAAATCAGCTTTGCTGAGAGTGGAATAGAAGGAAATGCCCAGGAAGGGCATCCAGGGAAGGCCACGGACACAGGGCGGGGCTTTGGGTAGGGGCAGGACTGAGCAGAAGGGGCAGTCAGTGGCAGAGCTGAGCCCAGGCACCACTTGCAGGACCAGCCATCTATGTGAAGCACCTCAAGGAGAGGTTCCAGGGCTGTGCCCCAGGAAAAGGCCTTAATCACATCATGGGAATGGGTAATTTTGCACTCATCAGCCTGAAAACTCCAGATGTGACTCTCAGCCCTGTCCTGGCATAGAGAGAACAGGAACAGAGGTCCCTTCTCTTCGAACATCTTGCAATCCTACTCTGGTGGGCCCTCGGCTGTGACCTGAGGACCTCACTGGCAATTCAGTCATTGCTGACACCTCTGAACACTTGGAGATTTCTCCCAGTCACCACAGAGAAGATTTAACAAGTACAAACCTGCAAACTCTTTATTAAATTCTCCTGTTTCATCTGTACAGAAAAAAATGCACACTATGTTCAGAATCTCAGTAACATCTCAAAATTACACAGCATGAACATGTAAAAACAAGGAACTGCTGGGATTTTATACATAGAAAGGAAACCCATTTACAAAAGAGGCTTGTTAATTGTACTTTTCTTTCAAGGAGAAAAAAAAAAAAAAAAAGTCAAGAGGCCTAAGATTTCACACAGGACTGCTGTGCAGCCTGTCCTGCCAGGACTGAGCTGGGGGCTTTGAGCTGGAGGCAGCCACTTGGGAAGCTTGCTGCGCAGTGCACTAGTGTGATCTGGGTACCTGTTCCAACCACCTGTTGCCCGGCAGAGGGAGGTCCAGATGTCAGCCCTATGCTGCGGGGAAGGCAAAAACAACACAGGCACTGTCCACACCACTTCCTTGCCTGGGAAGATCTCTCCACTGTGCAGGGCCTAGTGTCCTGGTGGGTTGCAGAGGAGAGGAGGGAAGAAGAGACCCCCATCAGGACCTCATCACCACCAATCTGCTGACTGATCCATCTTTGTGCTCCAGGTAACAAAACAGTCCCTAGGTCCCCGCATCAGACTCACTAGATGGCTTGGGAGGAATGTGAGCCTGAAGTGCAGTCTGGGTTTAAGATTCACATGTTGTATGAGGTCTGGGTAAGAAGGGAGACTCGTCTTCAAACCTGACTGCCCTTACAGGTAGCCTGGTCCTCTCTGGTAGAGGGACAAAGGGGGAGTGTAGTTAGATGGATGGCAAATCAAACACAAATGGATAGGGGGAAGGCCAGGCACAAGATCCTGTCAAAGTACCGTTGGGAATCAAAGCCAAGTGATGGAGAGGTGACAGGAGAGAAGTAACGTGAATCCACAACAGAACTAAGGACACTAGGGCGCTGTACATTGTAAAACTACTTCGGTGTGCTCAAATAGTGAGCAATCGAAGGGCATGGAGTTGAGTTTTGTAAAACTCCTAAGAAGCTAAAGTATAAGTTAACATTTCAAAATACACAAAATTAAAAAGCCACATTCTTCTTTTGATTCCATGATCACAATTTGGGGGTACTGGTGCCAGGCTGGAATGGATGACTTCTGAGGGCTCCAGTCCAGCTAGCTTTTCTCATCCTTTTATTGAGATACTGAGATCCATCACATGTGGAGAAGGCTTGTTTTGTGATGGGGCAGGAGAAGGTCTTATCTCGGAGGGACTTAAGACCAGCTAGGAAAGGAGACCCAGGAAGTGCCCCCATGACTCATACTAGGGAGATCGTTTGGACAGAAGTGGTATTATTATCCTGAAGGTGGAGAGGATGGGGATAGTTCCAAAAGTCACAATGACGTACAAGAGTGAATATTCTCTTGTGAAGGTTGAGGGACATTAGCCACATAATTTCCTTACCAATCTGTCTAATAAAATATAAATGTCAGCATCCTTGCCGTTGGATTCTTCTATCAGTTGACCCCGGGAAGCAGGACGACATGGAATTTTAATCTCTTTCTGCCACATCTCCTAGGAAAGCAGTCTCTTCCCCATGTCCTCCAGCCTGCTGGGCCGCACAAGAAAGTAAGCCTAAGATGAGACCACCAGGGTGCTGCAGCRAGTTCCCAGCAGCACCAGCTCATAAACATTAGCTCCTCCACAGCCCTCAAGACCCCCAGCTTCTAAGGACACACTAGCACTGGCTCAGACAAATCAACTGGATCCACAGAACTGGGGCTAGAGCAGGGAACCAGAGGGTCTCCTGGGAGTGTAGGGAATGAGGGCTTTCCCCAGAGGGCACCCAAGCCTTTGGTATGGCTCCTCTGTCAGTGCTCCCTGCCAGCAGACCAGCCTTGGGACAGCAGCAACAGCAGATAAGTCCAGGGACACACCAAGATAAAGAAGTATCCCAGGCATGGAGCTCTCCTTCTGTGGGATAAAGTCTTAGAAGGTGCAGATCTTGTTTGGCTTTCTGTCCAGATCTCTGACCTCCCAACCACAGTGCCTCTAGCCCAGGAACCTGGGTCCTGGAGTCTCAAGAGGGCTGGAGCACTGTGTCCAAGAGTGAGATGCTGGTGAGACCTGGCTGCTGTAATTTATCAAGTGCCTGAAACCTTGTCCCAAACATTCTGCTTTTTACATGCTTGTTTGTGGGCTCTATGTCAGAAGAGAGAAAGGCCAGAGTTCATTGCCGGCTCCTGTAGTAGGGCCTGGGTTCCTCTTCTTGACTAGCTTCAACTACCTGATTCATACCCATGATGCACCCCAGGGTGTCTTACAACTTGCTATTAAGCCAAAAAAAGTACAGAGTGGGTGAGTAGGCTGCCAATGCAGATGGCATTGGGTTCCCTGGGCTTAGAAAAACTTGCTCAAGACTGGGTATGGGACTCTCAAGAGCCAGGCACAGAAAACCACTCCAAGGAGAATGGTGAAGACTCCCTTGAAACAAGCAGCTGAAGACACCAGCAGAGTTACTCTTTCTCCCTCTTTTTAAATACTACTGGGGATTGAACTCAGGGACTCAAACAGGCTAGGCAAGAGCTCCATCACTGAGCTACACTGTAGCCTTTTCCATTTTCGAGATGGGGTCTTGATAAGCTGCTCCAGCTAGCCCCCTGAACTTGTGATCCTCCCACCTCAGCCTTCTAGTACATGGGATTATGGGCATTTACCACCATGCCTGGCCTTATTCTGGACAGTTCTAAAAATAACAAATATTTAAAGAGCCAAACTCATCAGACCTCCAAATCTGCTGCAGACAATTAATGGGATTTTCTGTCAGTTCACAAAGAATACTGAGATGCACTAGAACCACAAGGATGTTTTCCATATATTGGGAAGGAAGCTGCAGGGATGGGAATGATACTCCCCACCCCAGTCTAATGGCGAATACTAACCCCTGTCCTGCAAACCATGCTGACGTGCACTGGAGACCTGCGTTCCCATGGGATGGTCCCAGTTCTGGATATCAAGCCCCAGTTCCTAGAGAGGGAGGGACCCTCTGACCAACTCAGCTTTGTCGGCAGCATGTAGGGGTGGCAGCTGCTTACATAGTAGGTGTCGCAAGAATCACGAGACTGAAGACTCCCAGGAGAGCTGATGAGAATCAGAAGACACTAAGAGGAGAACTGAGGGACTGGACAAAGCAGCTCAGCAGACTCCCTGAAGATTTGTATTACTCTAAGCAGGGAACTTACAGCGACTTCTGGAACCCACTCCCTCCAGGAAAGGCAGCAAACAGGGAAAAGGAAAAGGATAAAAACCACAGTATTCCAATGTTATGTCAGTCAGTGAGACAAGGAATAATCTGGATCGACTGATCCGCAACTGACACGGCTTGCACTGAACACACTCCAGGGAAGACAATGTCACTCAGGTACCGCAGCACTCAACAGTGTGAAGGAGAGGCAGGAGGAGGAAGGGCAATGCCAGGGGGCCTCGGTCTATGTGGACAGTTTTAGGCACGTGATTTATAATACTTTGTGGACGTCTAACAGGTTAATAAAATATATATTATATAAATATATCTCCTACTGTACATGCTGCCCTCCTACACAGCCACCGTGACGCCAGGCCCCAAGCTCAATCAAAGGAGAGCCTGGCTGAACCTCGACGCCTGGGCTTCTCCTCCTCTGCCCCACACCTACATCTCCACGCTGGAGCAACAAGGGAGAACAGCCAGCAGTGTTGTTCCCATAAAGCTTTAGAAAGCTGATGAATCACCAAAAGACCACATTTAGCCAGTGCCTACTATAGCGGGAACACACAGCAAATGGACAGAAAAAAGAACGGAGAAAATCTCCATCTTTTAATGTAATCACTTTCCACACCCCTTCACGCAGAGGCACGGAGGAGCTTGTCTGGGAAATTCACCTGGAGCGTGCAGAAAGGTCAGGCTGGATGGCCAGTCACATCCTGAGGCCTTGCTAAATCTTTATAGGTCATTGTCTCTGACCTGTATTGTAGCCTGAAAAATAAAGCCAAGTGAGTCAGACCTCTGTTCTTCCTTCCTGCTCTGCTGCCTACCCCAGTATACCCCTCTCCTCAGTCACTGTCTCCTGGAGAAGAAGAGAACTTCTGAAGTGACCGTACCCTCGGCAGGGCCAACATAGACGTGATAGTCCACACCATCCTGGAGAAGAAAGATGATGGAGTCCTGCTGTGTAGACTCAGAATCCAGCCTCCCAGTGCAGATCAGTGGACTGTCCTGCTTCACGGACCTCTGTCCCAGAAGAGCTGCCCTCCCCAAGGCTCATGGCTGACTGCACCGGGTGAGGAGATCACAGAAACACCCTAGCTGTGGGACTTAACTAGTTGCAGTTCATTTTGGGCGGGAGCTGGAAGGTATCACTGCTTCAGCAGAAGCCACAGGCCCCACAGAGGCTGGTTAGTGGTTTTCCAGTCCCTGGTGAAGTCTTTGCCCTGATCCAGCCCAAAGGTGCTTCTGGGAGATGAGCCAGACTCTCAGTGATGGCGTGCTGGGGTATGCATCCCCTCCTAGTCCTGCCTTTGTCTGACACAGTTACAGGGAAGAAATAACCCTGTGGTCCAAGTCAAAACTGGAGGAGGACATGTGTTACTATGTACATTTTTTTCTTTCTTTAAAAATTTCTCCCCCCCCCCTTTTTTTTGGCGGTTTTTTTAAAAAAAGTGTTTTGAGTTGCAGGTCAGGTGAGTTGGTTCTGGAAGTGTCGGTAGTCCTGTTGGTACAGAGACATGTCTACAGGCAGGTAAACCCAAGTATGCCAACAATGGCAACCACCAAAGCGGCCAGTTGCTGATGCTGCAGACAGCGGCGGAGGAAAATACCGTGGACGTAGCCAGGTCTGGACGGGACAATGCAGTGGGCACCTGCTGCTGCGCTATCGTGGGTGATGGTGCCACCTCTTAGAAGGGCGAGGTGAGGGTACACTATACAGGAGGCTGTACAGACTGGGCACTGGGCAGGTAGTTCCTTTGGTGGTCAAGGAGGCTCTACCTGTCTTTGAGCTCTCGTGTCACTCGCTTGGTGATCCGTCCACACATCAGGCCAATCAGGAACAATATACAGATGCTCCCACTGATCACAGAGAGGATGTAGTTCTTCGATGGGGAGGTCATCACTTGCATGGCGAGATCAGAGAAGCCGTCTGCTGGGGCCACCTGGAAGGAGATAAGAGCGTGACCCTAGAGGCAGAGCTGGATGGCTATGGTGCTAAGTCTAACTTGCTCCCACAATTCCTAGTTTAATTTATGTCTTTTCTTTTAGGGAAGGAGACAAAAATCAACACATAGATAGAATGTTTCCCCCTTATCATAGAACTACATATATCCACTGCACAAAATTCAGACACATAAAGTTACAAAGAGAGGAGATCACCCCCAATTTCTCCATAGTGACCTCCACTGCTGGTACATTAACAGCCAGCCTCTTGCACTGTGGACTCGTCCATGTCAGTCTGGGCAAGAGCTCTGTGTATTTTACCAGCAAATCTCATAGCTCCTATATTAAAAATGAAAACCCAGCGGCTCAGGGTTAGATATGACTTGCACAAAGCTATGGATTCTTATATATTTTGATTTCTACTCTTTATCATGTTGCTCCCTTTTTGAAAACAAAGACAAAACTTGAGATTTTGTTATATGCTATTTCTCTATATTGACTTTACTCACCATTAGAAAACAAGCATCGCCCACATCAAAAACAAGATACAACAACACGATGACATCATGTATTCACCAAGCACCAGTCATGGGCACCCTTTTTTGGTACTAAGGATTGAACCCAGGGGCACTCTACCACTGAGCTACAGCCCCAGCCCTTTTGAGACAGGGTCTCATTAAGTTGCCCAGGCTGGCCTCAGACTTGCGATCCTCCTACCTCAGCCTCCAGAGTAAAGGATTACAGGTGTGCACCTGGCTTCACTACTATTCACCCTCCATTTCCACTGTTTTCAATAATGCACTCTATGATAGCCTGCTACAACACAATCAGGACCAGAAGGTTCTCCGTGTGTACATGTAGATGTTCTCTGAGTCTCAACCTGGCTCTCTGTGCTGCTCCTATGTTCACCTCGTGTACACAGAACAGAGCAGGGAGGCATGGGATTTATGAGATTTGAGCACCCACATTTGCCAAACGAGCAGTGAGTCACTCTGAGGCAATGTGAAACAGCTCAAAGGAGCAGAAGCCAGTGAGGGAAAAATGGACCGAATGGTGGGTGCTCTATCTGACTGAGGGCTTCACAATGACTTTTTTCCCTTGGGAGGAATGAAGATAGACTGCTGTGACAAACATGATCCCACCCGGGCATTTCCCTTCCGACCAGGTATGCAGACTTTCTTTGCGGGTTCACTCCTGCCTTGTTACCCTTGACCTTTTTTTTGAGACCAGGGTCCTACTACATGGCCCAGGCTGGCTTCAAATTCCTGGGCTCAAGGGATCCTGCTGCCTCAGGCTTCTGAGCATCTGGGACTACAGGGGTGTACCACTGCATCCAGCGTGTTCAACCTTGACCTTTAAGCAGATGGGTGACCAGGGGAAACTGGTCAAGAAGGAGAGGAGATCCTGTGGTCACTGTCTCAACCTAAGGTCACTAGGAAAGTTTACTCCAGTGTGGGTCAATATAAAAGCATGGATTGAGAAACCTGAGGCAGTTTGGACAAGTCATAATCTCTGAAGTCAGTATCTTCCACCATAAAGTGATAAAATAATCATTCTACTTACCTCGTTGGAATCTGAGGTTCATATGAAGTAATAGCCATCAAAACATTTTATAAATTATAAAGCAACATATATGTGAGAAACACTTTCACTCTTCTTACTGAGCTGTACTTCTGGAGGGAGCTCTCTTCTCTTCCAGATCCCCCTACTGGGGTACCCTATTCATCCCAAAGCCTCTCTTCATCTCATCCTTCTGTGTCCCAGGCCAGCTGAGCCCTGGTCTCACATAATACTTTCTTCCAAAGACTGTGTAAATCTTTAAAAAATGAGATTTAAGACTTTTGGATTTCTTTCTTTTCCCATGGGCATGATGTTCCTTTTCTCTTTGGGTGGCTCACTTTTCAGCGGTGGGCTATAAGCAATTGGTGGTGCTGGCAAAGTCTTACAGAACTAGTCCAAAGGAATAAGATGGCTTTGGGTTCATGAGCAGTCAAGAAGTTTTAAAGGCTCACTCAAATATACCTACTGCTAGTCTTCCAGCAAGGACAAGACCACCAGGGAAATACCTCAGAGCGTCTGGAAATGGACAGAAGAGATGGTCACTCTGGAACTCCACTAGGTCTTTACCTTTGCAGCATAACTCCACATTTCAATCCGGTCATTGAGGCGCTTTTTGCACTCAGGCTGTAATCTCACCCGCTTATCCTCCAGGGCCTCCATTAGGCAGGACATTTCTGTGAGAGAAAACAGGTAAGAAAAAGTCTGCAACTACACAGAACAGTAACATTTCTATAAAGCCAGGGGATGGATATCCAACCACCAGAGAATTTAGATCTTCAGGTTCAATAAAGTCAAATCCATTCTAGGAAACTTGACCCAAGATCCAGCATGGCGAGGATGGGATGTAACTCGCAGGGTGGCTGTCCAGAATCTCTCTTAAGATCACTCCAATTTTTACTGGGTATTCCTGGTTTAGAAACAAACTTACACCTGCCAGGTTCCAGCCTTACACAGAACCTGCCTACTGTGCCCACTGTGGCCCTTGGGGAAGCCTTGTTTGGGTAAGAGAACCATGATGATGGCTTAACTTTTGCTTCTGTGATAAATTACTTAACACCCCTTTCACTAGATCTTTAGCTCTGCCCATGGTTAGATCAGCTCAAATCTTCAGGATTATTCCTAAATTCATTATGCCACAAAGGCATCAACCTTGCTCCTGAGGGATATTGTCTATGGTTAGGCTGTAGCCACAGAACAGAGTAGGAGCAACTGACGGCTGAAATTGAGCCTTTGCTTCTCCCAAGTGAGTTCAGAAAGGGCCAAAGTGAATTCAGTGACTTACGACGCCCACGGCCAGGGGTGATGGCTGCACAGTGGTGTTTAATGTCCAGGGCACATGCTGTGTGAAGAACTGGGTCCACAAAGATGTCTGCCTTGCTTTCCTTCAGCATGTTTAACACTTCCTAGAAAGGGAAGGGAATTACAGAGAGAACTTTTATAAAGAAAATGCATTAGACTTGTTGTCTATAAACATGGGATAGGTGGCAATGTGGCAATAATGTACAGAATGCAAATTCATGGCATCCAATTTAATTCACTAACCCCTCTGAGAGATTCAATATATGCTATGGAAAGCTGGGAACTACACATGCTTGGAAAATTAGCTATGGGTTCTTGGCATTCTGGTATACTACAGTATCATCATTACCATTATCATTGTCGTCATCGTCATCATCATCATCGATATCATCATTATCCTCAGCATTTTTGTAGCACTGGGGATTGAACCTGGGGCCTAGTGCATGCTAGGCAAGTCACCTATCACTGAATTACATCCCTAGACTTTTTTATTTTTCATTTTGAGACAGGGTCTCACTAAGTTGCCCAGGCTGGCCTTGAACTTATAATCTTTCTACTTTAGCCACAGAGTAGCTAGAATTATAGGTGCCACCGTGCCTGTCCCTGTCTCTCTCTCTCTCTCTCTCTCTCTCTCTCTCTCTCTCTCTCTCTCTCTCT